CATCCGATGGATCGCCTCCTCGGTGGGAGGCGGGAGGAGGGAAGCGTATTTGCGGTCATAGAACTGCCGGAGTTCCAAGCTGGCCGCTTGTTGCCCCCCTCTTTGCTCAATGTAGCTGGTTTCAAACGAAGCATGCGCGGCACTCTTTCGGAGGTACGTGATAGCCTGCCTATCCCCTTCCCTGGCTCGCTGCAGAATGTTCAACTGGTGTTCGTGCCGATCGTTGGTTCGGCGTGCCCGTATTTCGGACAACATGCTCGCTCTCGTGTGAGGGTCCTGGCAGGCACGTCTGGTTGCAATAAGGGCCTTAAGGTCCGAAGAGTCCTGGTATCGAAGGGAAGGAACTCGCTCGGCTTTTAAACACAACTCAGACATGCGAGAGGGACCAAACTCCATGTCCGAGGCCGCATAGCTCTCCAGCTCCGGAATGCTGGGCAGCCACCGGCCACACCTGGTGGTGGGGCGTGTGCCTCTGTGGAGCAGCGGCATCGGGGTGCAAATTCTCAGAAAGACGGGGCAGTGGTCCGAGGGGAGCGCCAGTCGCATGTCATCCCGCTTGTGAGCATACGTGAGACTTCTAGGGACACGAGCCAGGACAGCGTCGATTTCGCTAGCAGCCCCACGGGCCGTCCAAGTGATGCCCACGGAAAGATGCAACGAGAGGCTATGTTTCTGAAGCAGAGCCCTCAGAAGCCCCATTCCCGAAAAGGTGTCCGAGCTGGCATGAAGGTCCTGGTTGAAATCACCGCCGACGATGACCATGGCCTCGCCACCTGTATCCTGCAGTTGAGAATCCAGTAGCTCCAAGGTGTCCTTCCAAACCTCCTCTGCAGAAGATCGTGGTTTAGCTTCGGTGCTGACCCGTTTACTGTGGGGCAAATGCAAACATGCCAAATGAATTCGGTGATTCCGACATGCACCATGCAGGACAAGACCAACGGGAAGCCCCGACTTGTGTGTCGCATGGAATTCCAGTTCGGTTTTGACAAGAATAGCCTGGTTGAGGTGTGCTTCGGGCGCGCTGCAGTGATACATCTTGTAGGGTACAGACCCAAAACAAAAATCCGAGACCTGAACCTCAGGAGTGGCCCCAGGACAAGCACCTAATTCCTGCACAAAAAGAAAGTCAGGGCATGGGACAGTCCCCTGCCACAGATCAGCAACCTCACGGAGACTTTTACCATGAAGATTCCAGGTACATGCTACGAATTCGGGTTTGAGGGGTCGCCCTCGTTTCCTGTTCCGGCCACCCTCCTAGGGGGATCCTGACGCCTCAACCTCGAAGTGTGTATGCAAGACCTTGAGATCAATCCCCAAAGTTCGAGCGAGAAGGGGACCCGGGACCCACCATCCCGTTTCGTGGCCCCGTACATCAAGCAACAACAGAGCCCCATCATCCGGACGTTTCTGGTCCACGTGGGCAAGCACACTGACCCCATTAGCCCAGAACCTTCCACGCCAGTCAAACTCAAAGTCCCTGGGGGGCAAATGTTTGGCAACAAGAGCCTTGAGGGACACTATGGCTCGAATACGGGCTCTCTCCTCAGGACTACGGTTTCGCTTTGCCCAAAGTGCCCCCGTCCCTTGCCCTGGAAGGGAGCTTGGCTGAGCAACTGCTCGGAGGGCCTCAACACACATGCCTTGGACCTTACGTCGTTCTGCCATGGCATCCTGCATGTACAGCAAGTCGACCCTACACGTGTTGGAACGCACCGAGCTGCAATGCATGGCCTGCAGGAGAGGGCCACACTCAGCTCTCGTGAACCAGTCTCTCACTTCTTGTTCGATGTCCTCGCGTTTCGCATCCTTCCAACCGCCTAAAACAACCTGCCAATCATCATGCGCGGGATTCCCACGAGCCCCACGAGGTGAATGCGTCGGAGTGTATGCTGAGGTGACACTAGGAGACCTAGAGCGAAAATCCCTCATCTCCTGTTCCATAGCCGCCAAACGGAGCTCAAGAGCCGCAGTTCGTTCTAAGTGCGAATCCTGCCTCGACTCCAAAGACTGCACCTTATCTGCTACTCCCTGAATGGAATCTCTAGTGACCTGGATGGCCTGCATCTGCTCGTGTTGTCCTCGATGAAGCCGGTCGATGCCCGCCTGAAGTGAGGCTGCCCACGGCGGGGGGACATCATCACCAATGTCGTACTCCTGTGGCAGCGGGCGTTTGTTCTTGTCGGGGGGGACAGGCCCCCCCCCAAAAAGGGGAGGGGGTTGCAGCCCCACTGGCGGTCCTTTGGCGGCAGCGGGATCGAGGGTCGGAGGTCGTGCTTTCTTTTCGGGGCTTGTTTTAGGCGAGGACTTGGGGGCTCGGGTGGCTTGGTGTTTAGCAAGGAGATTAGCGGCCACCGCTGCTGCTTCAGCCTGCTTGGCTTCAGTTTCCGCCAGCCCCACCCCTCTCCCCGGTCCAGGATCACACGGCCCACCCACGGCATCCCCCAAGGCGGCCCGGAGCGCATCCTGGGCCGCTTCTTGCATAACCATGTCGGGCTGCTCGGCCCCCAGAAGAGCCCCTGAGCTAATTGGCGTCCCAGCGTCATCCAACCCCCCCCCCCCCCCTCCAGTTGTTCGGAACGGTGCAGGTGGGGCAACAGGAGCGTACTTTCGTCCGACCCCGCCATCCCGACGAACGACGACACGACGAGAGGGACTGGTGGAGTAATGCACCCGGGAGGCCTCAGAACAGGACTACGAGGAGGAGGAGAGCTCAAGCCTGCCCGACGCGACCCGGAAGGCGCGACCGCGCTCCAGGGGCACACACGCCAGCTGACGGCGGACTTGAGCCAAAATGGCTTGAGCCAAAATGGCTACGGGTTTAGGGTTTAGGGTTTCGGAATTGGCCATTCGGCGCTCGCAACTCGGGCAATCCAGGCGAGGCATGCGTCTTTGGCCGGCTTGGCACGACCGCATGGCTGACGTGAACAACAACCACCACCGATACAAATACCCAGAGACTCTAATATCCCTTTAGTATGGGATATACCCTAAATCATATTATTATAAGGGATCCTACTGTAATTTAAGGCATATTGCTTAATTAAGGGCTGTTGGAGTCTCCGGATCGGTCCCATCGGGCCCGACAGGTTCCGGAGGGTCTGGGCTTGGGAGTTCGTGGGCGAGGTTGTAGGGCTTAGGGTTCGGGTTTTGGGTTGAGGAACTGGGGTGTGTTCGGCCTTGCAGCTGCGAAAATCTTAAATCTACGAGGAAGTTTCCCCAAACCCAAAACCCCCACAAACCAAGCTCGGGAAGTCCCGGCGCCAGCCTCACAGCTCGTCTGAGAGCCATAGAGAATCGGAATAGCCTGGCAGAGACAGAGACCACATAGAGCAGGAAGTTCTTGTTAGTAGACGCTTTTTGCATCCAGGCCTATTCGAGCTGCCGGGTACCCCTAAAAGATCTAAGCAAGAAAGTTTCGCTTTTGGTACACCCTAAAACCCTTTTTTGTTGCAGGCTTGCTTGCAAGGACGCCTGGAAGTTTGCCGCTCTTCCGCCAGTTAGGACTGTGCTCGTGACAGTGCCCCTAGCTCGACTGAGAGACCTGATTGAAAAGGCCGATTAGTCCGAACTTGTCGTAAGCATGTTGGTGAATGGCACACAATTGAGGATAGTACGCTAGCACATGATCATCCTGTACGGCACCCTTTTGCATCCAGGCCTATTGCGACTGCCGGGTGTGCGTCACCCTAAAACCGTAATATAATTGTATGACCGGGGGTTTTAGTGTTGATCTGGCAAGAGATTGTACAGGACTCAGAGGCAAAGTGAATCTGATGCCCAAACGATGACGACGCCGGCTGTGGCTTTACGCTGCTCCTCCTTCTAATCTACCATCGGTGTCTCACAGCTGTGGTCACACTTACTACGAGCTTCGGAAAAGCATGAAAAGAATCGCCACAAAGCTGTGGCCACTCTTACAGTGAACGTCGGAAAAGAATGACAAGAATCGCCTTGGACTCTGAACCCTGAGACAACAGTACCCTGAACCTTAAGAAAACGGAACCAGTGACCCAAAAACAACTTCCGCCTTCTCTTTGGTGTAGACACGCTCGATCTCCACCGGAACCTCCACTAAAGTTCCGCATAATGTGGGGCCTTCATACTTGGAACAGGAATTTGAGGTCGATTCCAGTACATCTACAGAAAGGAACCTCAGGGAATAGCATCAGCAAGTATTCAGACCTTTCGACTTCTGGTCTGCTAGGATTGGAGGAGGGAGGTGAAAAGCTTGTGGAGTGGCCCTTTACGAGGTCATGTTCCCACCGCCCAGGGGCTGCAACGAAGGCCTCTGCAAGTTCGGTGGCTTAGCGGCCCTTTGGCCTAAACCCCGGCTTCAGATGGGTCGGCAAAATTGTCATACTACTCCTTACGGTTCCTTTGATGTTTACAATACAATATGATACTACTCCTTGTGGTTCCTTTTATGGCTATACGACGGTATCATGCTCGCATGGACCTCGCCTCCTTGATATAGGTACCCAGCTTCTTGATCAAGGCCTTCTCCTTCAGACAAGCCGCTGCCACTCGGGGGACTTAGTAAGTAGGTAGTAAGCAGACTTATAAGTACCCTAAAAGGGACCCTAATTGGGGCTATAGTACTTATAAGTCCAAAAAATAACAAGTTACTATATAATTCCCCCGACCCTCCAAGTGGGCACTAAGTCTCGACTCCACAGGGTGGCCTCCCAGATAAGGGAGTCTCCGAAAATAGGGGACCCTAATAGCATAGTACCCCAAATAGTAGGATCCCTATTAGAAGGACCCCAAAATAAGGTAGCAGAATATTTGAGCGACATTAGACACTGACTGCTTACACTAAGATTTACACTCTCGCGGACTTAAGATCTCAGGTTCCTTCTTCCTAGACGTTCCTGCGCAGTGACGTGCTGAGATACATCCTCACCGATTAGATGCCTAAATCCAATCCAAAGGCATGCTGGGCATGACCATATTTGTAACAGTCTAACAACATCCCAAAACCACTACACCCGAAGTGAACCTTAAACTCCAAACTGCTCAACTTGCTCCTCCTCGGTCAGCTCGGCGAAGTTCTCTGGCCTCGTGGCCGTGATGTCGCGCGTGTGGTTGTGCACGTACCTCGTCTCAACTTGGCCAGAGGGGTCATCGTATAGGGACCCTGCTGTCATGCTGCACCCTGAATCCCAAACACACATGCCCTGAAGGCAAGAAACCCTGTGACGTTGCAACCCGCCGTGAGCAAAGATGCACATCATCCAAACTCTACCCCCACAACAAATAACTTGAGTAAGCTCATAGTTTTGTGCTGACCAGAGACCCTGCCGCCGAAACCCCGGCCGCACTGCTCTAGGAAAACCAATTGAAACTGTCCAGGTGCACGTAGCAGTCGCCCTTGTAGTTCAAGAAGCGATACCACTTGCCCTTCTCATAGGCGTGAGGGTCGATGCCGCGATCCTTCTTCGCTTCACCGGTCCCCTCCTGACATTTCTGCCGTTTTGGGCTCTCGGAAAATTGTGCGCATCGAAAAGCAGTGCCATAATCCTCGGAGGAACCCTAAACCCAGAGAGCCCAAAACCCCTTAATTAAGGAATATACCTTAAATTATAAGGGGATTCATATTATGATTTAAGCTATACTCCTTAATTAAGGGGTATTGGGGGCTCTCTGGGAAGCCCTGAAGTTAAAAGGTCCAACCCAACGTCTCCTTGTTGAGGAGCAGGTTTGCAAACGCCTTCTCCTCGACGAAGTCCTTCAGTTGCTATGGGCCCGGAGAAAACGAAGGAAGTGGTCTCTAAGCTAAACCTGGCTCGGACCCCTACTTAGAGGCCCAGGGGACTTTGTAAGTAGGTTACAAGTAGAGTTACGAGTACCCTAAATGGAGTTACCCCAATTACAACTCTACTTATAACAGACTTACTAATTCTCCTGGGCCTCTAAGTAGAGTTTACGGTAAGACCTCAATAACCGCGAATCTTGCTCCTTTACAGCCAGCAGATTCTGAGCCCCCTACTTCACATATTGAGGCAGTATGCTGCAGCTCAAACCCTTAAGCCCAACCCGAGAGCTGCAAGCGGGGTGCAATATACCCCTTACTAATTCTCTTCTAGTGCAGTCTTGTCCTTGGGTGAGGGAAAAGTCGCGGAACCAAAGTCGGAAACAAGGAGGCACGAGTCGGGAAACAAAGCGGCAGGAGTCGGGAACAAGGGGCGCAGCAGTCGGGAAGGTGAAGAGGCAGGAGTCGGGAAACATGCGGGGAAAAAACGAATGCATGAGCGGCACCATGAGCATCCGGCACCTGATTCGTACTACTACTACTACTACTACTACTACTACTACTACTACTACTACTACTGCTGCTACTGCTACTGCTACTGCTACTGCTACTGCTACTGCTACTACTGCTGCTACTACTACTATTACTAACACTGCAAATACTACTCATACTACTCATACTAGTCACACTGCTATACTACTCATCTACTCATAATACTACTAATACTACAAATACTACTAATACTACTAATACTATTAACACTACAAATGCTAATGCTAACTATAACTAATACCAATACCAATACGGATACTAATATTTATTTTTATCACGACTACAAAAACAAACACTGATTCTAATATTAGTACTCATACTCATACGCATACTAAAGCTACTAATACTAGTACTAGAACTAATACGAATACAATACGAATACACATACAGATATCGATACCAATACCTAGTACTACTAATACTACTAATACTACTAATACTACTAGAACTGCTAATACTAGTAATACTAGTAATACTAGTGATACTAGTAATACTACTAATACTGCTTATACTACTAATACTACTAATGCTACTAGTACTACTAATACTACTAATACTACTTTATTCTACTAACACACTTCTTATACTACTGATTCTTCTGATACTGCTAATACAACTAATGCTACTAACACTACTAATACTACTAATACTACGAATACTGCTAATACTACCAATACTACTAATACTACTAATAGCTATGCGCGCCTCCAGGCGCCTGGTGTTAACCTCTGTTTTTCTGCGTTTTTGGGCCTTTTGCTAGGGTGCCGGGGGGATGGGGTGGGGGAGGGGGGGTTAATAACGACATGGTTGACCGCAAGCAGTAACGCAGTAGCGCCGGTAGCAGTAGCAGTAGTAGGATGCTTGTGACAACGTGTCTTGCTCCACATCCTTGTGCAGCATGAGGTAGAAAGAGCAAAAAATGCTGTAAATACCGGTGTTTTGGGCATGATCGCCAAAGGCAGTGACATGAACATTAACCTGACCATCTTCATCACCATCTTCATAGCCATCATTTTCGCCATCTTCAACATCATCGCTAACTTGATCATCTTCATCATCATCCTCATAATCAGCATCCTTATCATCATTCTCATAATTCTCAAAATCATCAAAATAAGCCCACGCAATTAGTTGGATCGAAGTTGGCTTAACTACAATTTCTAAAAACTACTAAAAACCCAGCATTTTTGACAATCGGACACTCAAAACTACCAGGGGCCAGGAGGCGCGGAACCCTACTAATACTACTAATACTACTAATACTACTAGTACTACTAATACTTCGAAAACTACTAATGCCACAAGTACTACTAAATCTGTTGATAGTAAAAAAACTAAAAATGCTACAAATACTACTACTACTACTACTGCTGCTACTACTACTACTAACACTGCAAATACAACTCATACTACCCATACTACCCATACTACTCATACTACTCATACTACTCATACTACTCATACTACGTACACTGCTATACTACTCATCTACTCATAATACTACTAATACTACTAATACTACTAATATTACTAATACTACCAATACTAGTAATACTAGTAATACTAGTAATACTACTAATACTACTAATACTAGTAATACTAGTAATACTAGTAATACTACTAATACTACTAATACTACAAATGCTACAGCTAACTATAACTAATACCAATACCAATACGGATACTAATACTAATATTATCACGACTACAAACACAAACACTGATTCTAATATTAGTACCCATACTCATACGCATACTAAAGCTACTAATACTAGTACTAGAACTAATAGGAATACAATACGAATACACATACAAATACCGATACCAATACACAGACCGCAAGATGCAGATGTTGCATTGACACGATAATGCTATAAACCCCGAACCCTATAAGACCCATGGTACCCGACATGCTTGATTCCTGACTTTCGCCCCGGTTGTTTCCCGACTCTTGGCTCCTTGTTTCCTGACTGTTGCCTTCTTGTTTCCCGACCCATGGTTCCCGACAATCGCGCATGGTTCCTGAATTAGTCTACTCCCTCTTTTCCTTTTTGGAGGCCGCTGTTCCTGTTGTTTTGCTGAGGCTGGGTTTTGTACCGTTGTTCTCCGCAACAAGAGAAACAGCCCCCGTAAGGGCCTAACCCTAATGCCCTAATTCCTTTTTGCAACAGGCCTCTGGCCCTAATTCCCTAAACTCTAATCCCGAATCCCTAAACCGAAACCCCTAAACCCTAAACTCCAATCCCTAAACCGAAAGTCCTCCTTTTTCCCATCGATGGAGCGAGCAGCCAGTGCTTCGTCCCAGGATTCCTGCACTCTCGTTTGAGGGTTCGGGGTCCAGGGGCCTTAACAGATTGGAATGGAGCTTTGTGTGGAGGGTTCCTTGTAAAGGGGTCTATGAAAGCGGCTCTTAGGGCTTTAGAGACAGTGGCCTTACTGATTAGAATAAGCTCCAGGGATACATTGCTCAAGCAAAAACATACCCTCTTGTACTGACGGCTGATGCTTTCGGACGGGTGCTGGGAGGGCCAGCTGGCATCTTTCGCAGGGTAGCGGCTTTTAGGGCGGTCACGGACTTTTGAGCTGTTACTTAAGAGCTGTGAACGACTTGGGCGAAACTCTGCGCTCTACAGCTACAAAGTCCGGTTTCGACTCGCACACTCGCATGATGCAGTAGGGTTTAGGGTTTAGGGGCTCCGACATTGCCGTCAGGGATGACCGGCCAGTTCAACCTTCAACACTGAACCCCCAGACACCACAAAGACAAGACCAACAGCCCTGAGCCGGGATCCTGCTGTGTGGGCTTCGTGGCTTCCAGAACATAGAGACGGAGCGCCTGCGACGACAGAAGCACGCTCAAGGTTTCGGTGCTCACACTCGGGCGGACCCGGCGAGGCTGGCATACACTTTCAGGGTTTAGGGTTTGGGTCTTTCGGTGTTACCTGTTATCGCTGCAGGGCTTTAAGCTAAGGGTGTTTGAGGGTTTCTGGCTTGGCTTTCGGTCGTGAGTCCCAGATGACTCGAACTACTTGTGGTAACGGAGCCAGTGGTTCGAGGCCAAAGCGTCTGACGGCCTAAAGCTCTCGCACCCTTCAGCCCCAACGCCTCAACTAGAATAACACTACTCTCAAAGGGGAAAAGGAGGGACCCTTAATAAGGACCCCTAGGTATGTACCCTTAATATAGCTATTATATACTCATTATAGAGCCCATTATAGGGACCCAGGGGTCCCCATTGAGGGTCCCTCCTTTTCCCCTTTGATACTCATTGACAAACTACAAATAACCCTATAAACCCTAAACCCTAAACCCACAGGATCAGGCTCTAGTCGGCTTTGTAGCACCAGTTACACCGCTACATCGCATCACTCGAACTCGCCCCCGGGAAGTTGGACCCTATCCTAGTAAAACCTACTATTTGCTTAAGAACCCCCAAAAAATGAAATATATATATATATATATATATATATTCCTTATGGGGGTAATATAGGGATTATTTTTTGTATTTTTTGGGTGGTTTCTTAAGCAAATAGTAGAAACCCTAAACCCGAAAGGTCCCCCCCCTTTTTGGTGGACCCCGATTCGGCTCCTCTGGGTCGTAGGGCTCTTTGGGCCATCCCCAAGACGGCGGGATCTCCTCCTGGTGGCCGCGACATTTTGGGCTTCGGGTTTAGGGTGTAAGTTTAGTTTTTTTTTGTTGGGGGGGGGGGGGGGGGTTTTGGGTTTTTCGGGTTTTGGGTTTAAGGCTCCCTAGGGCTTTGGGTTTTTGGGCGGTTTTTTGGGGTTTCAGACTCCGCTTGTTTTGTTTGGGAGCCACTTTCGCCACGGCAGCTTGGGTCTTGGGCTGCTCTGGGACTTCAGCGCTTTAGCTCCGGGCTGCCGGTTTTCAATTCTTTGTGGGAGTAGGCATGGTTCAAAGATAAGCGATCACCCTCTTAGGGTCCAAGTACCTAGTTATCATCTACTCTCCAAAATAGTAACCTACATAACTACTATCCTGAAGCCGAGTACCTACTTATAGGGTCCTTTAAGCCCTTAGGGTCAATGAGATCACAGGGTTGATAAGGGTCCCCTGTGGACGGGACCCCTGTGGGTTGCATTTGTCCATTGGGGCCCAATGGGGCCAAATGGGGCCTAATGGGGCCCAATGGCTTTCCCATTTGCCCCCATTAGGCCCCATTGGGCCCTATTGGGCCCCATTGGGCAAATGCAACCCACAGGGGTCCCGTCCACAGGGGACCCTTATCAACTCTGTGATGAGAAGCAAAACAACATCATGGTCCCAAGAAGCCTGGAGCCCGATACGGGAATGTATGTTTCTGTGAGTTTCCAGTTTGTTGGTTTGGCTCGGCGGCGATGGGTCTAGCTTGTGTTCAATGGCATGTGGAAGTTTTGGACCTTCGGGGCAGTAGTCAACAGCCTGC